CAGAGCGCGCCATGGAAAAGACGGGGGGGTGGGGGGGGGGGGGGAGTGGAAAACATACTTGCAACAGAAATGAGCACTAACCAGACTATACATCCTGTCACACGTTATTCAAGGGTGACAATTTGTGAAGCACAAGACTTCACCTTAAGTAAGGAAATTCAACAAATGTATCAGAGATTTGAAAAAAGGCAAAAGGACACTTAAAATTCGTTTAGTGGTTCTACAGCACTGTGTTATAAAAGTTGACTTTTGCCTGGGGATTAACTCAGGTTTTATTGCACAGCAAAACAGGGAGGGCTTGTAGAGGAAGGCGCATGCTGCACACTGAGTAAGTGGAGAAGAAGACAACAAAGAGCTGTCATTCCCCAAAAAATAACATGCATCCACTTCACTAGCCCCATCTGAAGTCTGGTAGGAGCATCTATTCTATTAAATATCTCTGCTCTCACTTGGTATTACAATGACTCTAAATGCTCGAGCTAGTTTCCTTCATCTTTGATGGGTACTGACTCTCCGTGCTGTGAATTCCACTACAGTAAGAGCCCAGTCATGCACCTGATTTCCCTTCAGCCTCAGCAGAGTAGGAAAAGGAAAAAAGCAGCTTTGACTACCACTGAAGTACCAGTAGAAAGGGCTCGCCTCTCTGTGGTCGTCTTGTTTTTCTTTGAAAAAATTCTAACTTCCCATAGCCAGGGGACTATATGTACTCAACACTTCAGAAAGTATTCAGGCCACCAACCCAAGTACGTCTAGTACTAAGAGACCTTAAGTATCGGTTTTCCCTGTGCCTTTAAATGAGAACGCAGTGTGCATGGGACTACCCTCTAATGTTTCTCATGCCCCCTAAAGAAAACAGTTCCATTAGAAAAAAAACCCCACTAATCTCTCCATCCCTGAAAAAAAAAAACCCATACAAAAGAGCTGCTCTAACTGCAAATTCACCTTTCCACAAACTCCTTGTTCTTATAACCAGTTGCAGTATCTGTGAAACAGTAACTTTCACTGCTGATCATGAAAGGGTAGATGATTGCCTGGGGATAGGTATTTGCGATCTCTTCAACCGTATGTTGCACGGCTACTGCTTCATCCTTGTCAAGTAGTGCCATCATCTGGCTAATCCAACCAATGAACTGCCAACAGGGAACCGAAGAAAGCTGCAAAAACACAGACACTACTTTCAACTTTGGTCCTCCTCGAAAATACCAAACATAGCAAATGCAAACAAAACTGCTCTGTGGCCCTGCCTGACAAGACAGAAACAGATGAAAAGGAAACAGAGAATGTCAACTGGGTTGCACACAACATCCCTCAATAAAGCAGATTTCATTATTTGCATTACTACTACCACCACCATCACCAGCTACTGCTGCTTAATAGATTTTCCTTTACAAAGATTTGCAGTTTGTTGATCAAGAGGAGGCTTTATATTCAAACTTGTGGCTTTTCTGTCTGGATGCAGCAATATAATAATTTTTGATCACCACATACAAACCACTCAAAAATCTGAAAGAACAGTTCAAACACCATTGGGTTGAAGTCTTAATTTGAGTAGAAAAAGCCAGGAAGGAGAACACTGGAACTCCTACCACAGTTTTGCTCTTCCTTCAACTTTAAAGAGGTTTGGGCTTGCTGACAGATATTAATTTCAGTATAGCATCCCCCACCAATATACTTCATGCTCACCTCACTCCAAAAGCTGTATCACTTCTGAAAGGAGTGCTACAATATATTTTCTTGTGATAGTAAGAGACCAGACTCCAACTCCTTCCCTTCTGTCTCGTCCCTTCCTTCCTTTGTAACAGTTTAAGATCAGGTTACTAGTATTTATCTCACAGAAAGAGAGAGGACAAAGAAATGCCTGGTGAAGTTCTTTTCTGGGTGAGGTTTGTTAACTGGACCAGGCATCAGGTTCTGTTTGAACCACCGGAGTTTCACTGTGGCCACACCTTGTGTACCTCAGCCGTTTTTGCTATGTTCTCAGTTTCTTGGGTTAACTGAGCCATGTTTCTGTCTCTTTTGAGTTCTTCCTCTGAAAGGGCCTGGCACTCCATGAGCACCAGCACAATGGGCTTGAAAAGGCAGGCAGGCCAAGGCAGGAGCAGGCATGAGTCACTGAGGACCTCTGGGCTTACCTGTCCCACAACATTGCTGTGGAACGGCAATGGAGGGACAGGTTGTGGAAGGGAGGAAGAAGCTGAGGAAGCCTCTGAAGTGAAGCAGGACAGGGAGAGGTGGGAGAAGTGGAAAATGAGCCTGGAAAAGCTGTTTGCTTCCTGCATAGAGGAGCTCAGCCTACAGAAATAAGATACATTCCTCACCCTAATCCTACGCACCCACTTATATCGGCCCACTTAAATCGTTCAGAAGGAAGAAAAAAAAGCAACATAATTTTTCTCCAGCAGCTCTCAAACTAACTTTTGGAATCAGAATAATGATAAAAAGTTAAACTTTAAAGAAAAGTTTCTGTCCATATGAATTAGACTCTGCAAGTTAGAGAAAATACAAGGAACAATGATGGGATTAAAATATATCTGATTTACCTGAAGCAAGACTTACCAGTCTAACCTCTTCGTCTATCCAACCTCCACCCCCACCTTTTAAATTCAATTTATAGCAAGGTTTGCTGCCAGGAAAATGGAAGCAACTAACCTCTCGTGTCACTAGACCCAATGTCTCTGCTGGATATCTTTCAATTATTTGCAGCAGTCTAGGAAATCGCAGCCTGGCTTCTCTGGAGTTCAGTTTTAAAGCTTTTATCATTTTCTCCACCACAATAGCTGGGAATGGCTGCAGATCTGCAGTGCTAATTTCTGCCAAGAGACATTAAACAAGAATTATCAGAAACACCATCACTTGTTCCATGTCTTTGATCATCTGGAACATTTATCTTTATAATTCAGTTGTTTTTTTTTTTTTTCCCTGTGTATTTTGTATTTTTACTTTGTTCTCTTTCCCATCTGTTGAACTGCACACATCAGCAACACATGTACTTGGGGACTGTAAGGATTAGCTTTATCAGGAAGCTGCATCACTGCTGGTATCTTGCCTGCTTTAAACACAGAACTGCTGTGGTCTGAGAAGGAACAAGGGAAGCATCTGCTGGACATGATATATATCTCACAAGTGAGAGGGAGACTGTGAGTGATTCACTAGTACCAAAGCTCACAGTAATAGTGGGGGGGACAAAAAGGAATATAAATACTGTTGAACCAGAGGACAAACTGTTCCATTTAAATTCAAGCTGTGCTGCTCAGGGAGATAGATCTCCTGGGTATCACAAAAGCTCAGGTATCACAGATAGATCCACCTCACATGCTTAGGAGAAATCCTGACTAACCAAGCGAGTCTTCTTCTTCCCTATGCAGATGCTCGTCACAGAAACCAACCAACGTCATATATGCATCGATAACTCCCATCACATCTACATGTTCCATGGAGTGGGACTGCACCTCCTCTTCGGACTTCCTTGCGGCACTGCTGAAACACTGAAAAGCCTTCTTGTTCAGACCTGCCAATACCTGAAATTCAACCATTACAGAAAAAAAAGACACGTTATTGAGTAGCGTTCAACAATTCTTTTTGAAACTGGAGCTTGGTTGCAAGTCTTGAGTAGATAAAACTATCACCATATTAGATATTTTGAGCAGCCGATACAAAGGAAAAAAATTGGGACATTATTTCTAGCAGTAACTCCCAGAATTTTAATTTCCACAGTTTTCAATAGAAAAATATAAACCTTTTAACTTAAATTAGTCTCTGCAAAAAGTTATGTGGAATTTTTATAACTGCAAAAAAGTTAGTGTTACTAGAGTTTCCACAAAAAGTTAACAGAAAACACAATTAAAAAATACTATTTCTTCCTATTAAGATGTCTGCAAACACAAACACAGTCATATTGATCATACATTTCAAATGCAGCTGAAGGACTTGACAAAATCCTATACAACTGAATATATTCTCATATTGCCAACAAGTTTACCAACCTCAGACACTGTAGCTATTGTAGTTATTAAACAAAATACAGAATTGCTGCAGAACAAGTTGGAACAACTGAAAAAATGCTGTAACTGAAATTAAATAGTTTGAATTTCAGGTAGGTAGAGGGCAACTACCAGGGTCAGAGTACTGCTTAATAAGCTAAAATAAGGCTAAGCTCCTTAATCTTACAGAAATATCTGGTATCCCAGCCTGACTCATCTGACACAGAAGAGCTTTTATGCTCATCTTTTAGATTTCCTTAAGAACAGGATAATAAAATTAGCTAATAAATGAAGCTTAAGCTCTCGCTCAAGTTTCTACACACCTGAAAATTTAAAATCTTTTTTGCAGGAATATCTTCTGTATCTGTTTTTCTTTAACAACCATAATAATGCAAATTAAGAACAATTTTTTGTTGTTTTATACTGGTACGATTCATAACTAAGGGTCTTCATGGTGGCTTTAGGAATTAATGGAAAGAAGTCAGGAGTGGTACTTCAAATTCTTACTCAATCAATTTGACAGACAAGTCTGTGCCACAGCATCTGGGACAAATGACAATATACACGATTTCAGATGCAGCACAGTCTGTCACTATTCTTCAGATGCACACCTCGCTAAAAAAGGCGAAGATGACCTGCATATGCTCTGTCTTAAATACCCCTCTCCTCAATATCACTAAAATTATTTAGATAAAATAAGCGTACCAGTATCATTATCAGTATTATAAAGATCTCTTTATGAAGTAAGATAGTCCGACAGCATGAAGAAGCTCAGCAATGCCCAGCTGAAATAAAAGCATTCTTTGATGATCATGTTCCCATGTCTTGCCACTGTGCATGCAGGTGCTACGATTATGTCCTTCCCCTCCACACAAAATGCAGGAGCAGAGAAACACAAAACTACTCTCCCAGTTAAAACGGATACAGTGGTGCAAAACTCCAGGAGAGCAAAAACCAGACAAAACAGCAACCACAGCAGTTCTATTCTTTTTTTTTTTTTTTTTTTTTTTAATCTTCTCCTAGCTGGTGCTCCTGGACAAATCAGTGCTAATAGCAGATGGGTTTCACATGCTGTGTATGTATCCATACGCATCATCACCTACTGAAGTACTGATTGCAATACTGAAATACCTAAAAGCTCTTCCCCTCTCATTTACCTTTTCGGGACTCTCAAGACTTTCTCCTGATAGTACTGATATTCTTCCTGCTTTTTCTTCCCCAATTTGTTCAAGACATCTTGGATCCTGACTAACAGCTTTGGCCATGATGTGGTACGTAGTACCCAGAAGAAGATTCTGGTTTCGGAAGGCCGTTGTGTTCTTGCTAAGATAGTCAGACTTGGTATCTTCTGTTAGAATTCAAAAACAAAGTTGGTAATTTGACAACAAAGCAGCTTTGTATAAAAAACAACATGAAGCAAAGAGAAGGCTGTTACCAAGCAGGGAGATGGTTCTTAACACTGAGCGTATACGTTCAGGACAAGTCTGGTTCCGGCTGCAACTATGTGTAAAGCGGCAATAGGCGTAATTCCACCTCACCAGCCAGTCTTCCCTCATTTTGGCTTCTTTGTGTAGGTCTGTCAGAAGCTTCTTGGCAACTGAGAAGCTGTTCTGTATTCAGATTAAGACAGAATTTTCAGATAATATATCTGAAGAGGAAGTAAAACCTTTCTGCAAACAAATTAAGGGATGAGAGGATTTAGGTAACACAAGTAAAGGTATAATAAGATGAAGAGAGGTCCACTGCTTGTCAGGTCTCACATTCAAAACCAGGTTTGTGCTAATGGAGAAATTCGAAAAGAAAAAGAGAAGTTTGACAAGCTGCGGAAATTAAAATAATTCTATCTGCATGACTTAACAGGCATTAACTTCTGCAGTACAAACACAAATGAGATATGTAACTTGGTTTATAATACCATTAAGCAAATCACTTATGTTTGTGTTTTGATGAAAAGTTTCATATAAATAACACTAAAGGAAATCTTATTTTTCATTTACTCCTTTAAGAGTATAGTCTACACAGCACTACTGTTGTATTTGGTTATTACAGTGCTTAAAATAAACTCTGTCACTGATTACAGATTTGACTTTGACTTAAATGTTACTGTCTTGTCTCAATCTTGAAACTCCGAAGGCCCATCAAAGAAGGCTATGTTTCAGTCATTTTAAGAGTCAGATCCAAAACAAAATTTCTGTCACATAACTTTAGTTCTTTATAGAAGTGTTAACCTAATAGCATTAATGAAAATCGTAACAAAAAACCCCCCCCACCATAAAATATTTCATCATTACCGACTGAAGTAAATGATATTGATTCAATCTGAATTTGATTTGTTTTCTTGTACAGAAGAGATTATTTGTAAATGAGAAAGCATAATATTTGGTTGTAAGCATCCCTTTCGTTAAAGGCTGCGGCATTTCAGATGCTTTATCTGCCCTTTAGAGCGTCAGAAACCATCTGTGGATCAAAGGGGCCTTCAGGCACATTTCAAGTAATGACAAATTATCATCAAGTTTTTAATTAACATTCATTCATTTGTTTTCTTTCTCTGTGGAAGTGACTTTCTTGAACGTTCAAAATATCCTGACAGCAAGTTCAAAGACAGACAAGGTCTGTCCTGGCAAAAAGGTGGCCAAGACCACCTATAAGGCTTTTACAGATGTAGCTTCTCTATATTTTCTCACAAAAATGGAAGCTATCAGACAGTAGAGTCACCTGTTTCCTGGCACTTTCTATCATCTTCATTTTCATGTTAAATTTGCAGGTTTTAATCATTGAGTAAATGTCTTCACCCTGTTGATCCACTTCCATTTGGTCACCAGCACCACATTCTTCATCCACCTCCATACTATCATTGGCCTGATCATGGAGAAGTTTCTCTTGCAGTTTGTCAAGAAAGAAACACCTGCATAATGACAACAGGAGTACAAATCACTCTGGTATGTATGCAAGGGAATGAACACTCAAAAGCGTTGATCTGCCTGACAGTAAACAAAGCTAAGAAAAAATGGCAAGCTACAGCAATCACCTTGAGCAAGGGCTAAACATAGTCGTCAGAGCCTGGAGAGTCACAACCAGGGACAGGGTGACCCTGAGAGCCTTCTAGGATCTTGAATCAACAAGAGTAAATATTAGAAAATGTCCATAATATGTTAATTTGTTCCTTTAAAATCATAGCTACAACCTCAAAGTTCATCAAGATATAATTTGCATTCCAACTTGACAGAACTGCAAACAAACAGGAGTCTTGTTTACACAGTGTAAGTGCCAGGCTGTATCTTATGCCAACCTGCAATTCAAATATATATGAAACTAACACATGTAAACATTGAAATTTGCATTGCAGAAAAGACCTGCGACCATACTCAACATTTGAAAGGGAATTGCTATTAATCAATGCTAAAACCTTTTCATTCTACAACTAGTCCTATCTAATTGAGTAGCATCTCTCATACTGTTACTCAATGCAGGGGAAAGCATTGCAGTCTGGAGTAGGGCTTGGCACTGAATAAAGGCACATCCTTTGTCACTAATTTAAGATGAGATAAAGGTTTTTTAAAAGCACGTAAAAACGTTCAAGACACTGACAACCCTTCAACTCATGAACATATTGAGACTTTGTAAAGAAGTAAGCCTTACCATGTATTCTGCCTAGCATTTGATTGCAATAAGATCTTCTGTAGCCATGCTTTCCTGACACCAGAGATAATAAAACAAATTACAGAGTACAGTTGGTATCAGCAGAACTGCTGAAGAAGTTGTCCCCCAGGAAAGGAGCCAGAATCTAGATTTTCACGGGAAGAATGGATTGGGATGAAGACAGATACCACGGGGAGGACAGAAAATTTTCAAATTCAAAAAAGCATTCCAGCTCCTTCAGAGCTAATCCAAAGGAGTCCCCAGAGAGCCTTTGTTCTTTCTAGAAACAGTCGTACAGCAGAGTCTCTAATTACAGCACTGGTCATTAACTTTCCTATAAAAATGTGAAGCACTGATAGTGACAGGGCTGGGCTTATTTTGTACACTCCCTGACTTTGGAACTGCCTACAAAGTAGGTAGATATTTTTATTCATAATGGACTGGCCTTTTGGGTGGCATTTCACTGAGCCAAATGCAGCTGATCTACTCAATTAGAAGTGGTTGTGTTTAAGGGCTGCTGAAATGGGCTAGCTTGTACAGTGTATGTAGTCACTGATGCAAGAAAATGCTTGAACTAAGAGTTATGTTTCCATATAAAAATATGGTTTATTCCCTGTCCATTTCTCCACCTCCTTTTGCTTCTCACTATAGTAGTCACACAAAAACCAGTTATACTGATAAAGCTATTACAACAGCTAAAAAAAAAAAGTCACACACTGGATCAGCAACCCCCCGCATGAAAAAAAGCAGCATTAGAAAAAGCACCTCTCAGAACTCAACAGGCAGACAGAACTAAAGCTAACCCAAGAACATAATTTTACCGATTTGTAATGATATCATCCCAGATGTTCATAGGATCCATTTTAGCATCTGGATATCTGTTTGTCCAAATTCTGAGAAGTCTCTTAAGGGAAGCCTGTGAAGCTAAGTTACCTAGAAATCAATTAAGAATACTTTAAATGCATCTAAATCCAAACAGCATGAAAAAGGCCTAAACCAAACATAGTCTAACATTCAAACCACAAAACTGCAGTAAAACCACCCACTTGCATTTCTGGGCTTCCATTAAATACACTACTTGGTGATAATACTGCTTTTGTTTATTGCTGAAGCACAGAAGATTCAATAAGGACATCAGTGTCAACTGTCACTGGAAATCACCACTGGGTAGGTACCTTTCTATACAGGAATATAGCAGAACTGTTACCTAAATGTAATACATAATTCTGTTTATGTGCATAAATTTGTATTTCATGCCTGCCTCAGTAGCTATAAATTACATGCCACATCCATCTTTTATCTCCGCTAACCACTATTTGCTATCAAGTGACCCCAACAAAAATCTTAGTTTAAAACTCTTACACTTTTAAAAGAGATACTTTAATCACATTAGTTAGGCTAATAAAACTTTATAATAGAACACAGAATTATATTCAAGCCTGCCTTACACAACTGCAATAATTTTTACTGTCAAGAAGACAGTAGGAACTAATTCTAGACCTATGCTCCTTCAAACAGGAGTTCAGTCCTCTAAGTGTAGAAACAGTAATTCAAAGTTCAAGAAACCATGATTATTTAACACAATGAAAGGAAAATAACTTCAGAAAAAAAATCTTTACTTGTCTTGGTCATAAAATCGATGAAATCCTGTATTTCTGTCAAAGCTTGTACAGACTGCAGTTTGGTCATTCGACTTTGATACAATAAAGTATCAATGCTGGAATAGCTCTGAAAAGAAAGGGAGAGAATGGAAGATTTTGTATAGACAATTTACAATGTGGTTCTGCTCAGTGCCCTATAAACTATTTATCTGATGCTGTTATATACTATGTTCTACAACACAACCTTTTACAAGTAATTTAATAACCTGTAATCTGAGAGCAACTCTGCTTTGGACAAGTATCGAGGCATATTCTAGCTGCAATTCCTAGCCTAGGTTTTAGGCTAGTCCTACAGTCTAATAAAAACTTAGTAACAGATGGAACTTGTAACCTCTCAATGCAATACTCTCTTCAAATCTGTTCTGGGTACAGGAGGCTTCTGAAAAGATGAATGAAATAAAACTGCTATTAATCTGCTCAAACAATTAGTCTGAAAAATTTCTAATAGATGAAATCAGCAAAATAGAACAAATTAAAATGGGAGGATGCACTACACTGGCTGGCTCAACTCTCATTGTTGGAAGCAGTGAATTCAAAGGAAGTTTTGTCATATGATTGGAAAGCACCTAGATTTCGTTGCATTTGGGCAAGTGTTTCTCTCGAGAGTATAATCTAGCAGCAGTAACAGCAACAACAGTTTCATTGTTCCCCAAGTTTGCACAGAAAAATCACATTAAGAGATAGCAGAGACTGTTACCTGCATGAAGATCTGCATGCCATTGCTAATGTAGTATTTGGCTCTATCAAAATCATCTTGCAGGATGTAAAGGAGACTAAGCTCTTGGCTGTAATGCATTTCTATAATGGCTTTCTTCTGTTCTGTCTTCATTGCCTCATCAATAAAAGTTAGCAAAGTCTGGTCATTTTTCCCACTGAGCAGTAACTTCAACTTACTGCGTATTATATAGGGCAGATACGTCTCCTACAAGGTGAAAATACTGTCTTTATTTCTAGGAATGGAATATTAGATGTTAAATTTTTTGTTATCAGTGGCAGATCAAATAAATATAAAAATATTTTGAACAGTTTTCTTTAGACAAATTCCAATTTGCTAACGAATCACAGAAGCCTTTTCTGACAGGCTCTGTTAGCAAATTCTACCAGTTTCAAAGCCAGTGGTTTGCTAACTTACAACATGGAAGAAATAAAAGTGGTAAAAGCAACAAAAACACTGCAAGAAGAAAATGATGATAAAGCTGGTCCTGTATGATCAGCCATAGACTCAAGGTAAAAATTAAACATTGTAAAAACAGCAGAATTTATTGCTTCAATTATTGTACATATCAGACTCTCTAATTTCCATAATAAAAGTAAGCCAAATTGATTTCCACCCGCAATCACATTACTATATAACATCCTTGCAGAGATAAAATCAATGCAGTATCAACAAAGTGATTTCTAAAAACCTGAAAAAATGGATCATTCCATGTTTTGCTCAGGTCTGGAGGTTTTCCACTGTCAATATTAATGGTAGCACAATACTCCAGGGACTTCCACTCTGTGAGGTGGTCATAGCATTCCAGAGATGCAAGTTCCCAGAAGTCCTTCTCCACTTCTGTTGGCTCTCCATCTTGCCAGTCTTCTTTGGAGAGTGCCTAGGGAATGAATTTGAGGGGGAGGAAGGCTCTCAGCTGGAGAAACACTAGTTTCAATTCTATATCACCAGGAACTTAACAATAATCCATTATCTCATAAAAATATCGATCCATTTACCAGAATGTGACAGCAATGTTAAATGCAGAAAATTCAAGCTTGCCAGTATTTACACACAAATGCATTTCAGGTAGCCGTCTTTAGTAAACCTGCATTTTTAAAGAGCGAAGACTTCAAAAGAAGGTTAAAGAGATTCTCCTTATTTTTACCCACTCTAACTCAGATTTTCTTTGCCATGAACACATGCAGTTTGCTCTCTTGGGGTGGCAGTGCTCGTCTGCCTGGGTGATCGCACATGTGAAGCTTTGTAACAAACAGTAAAATATGTCACGCTTACTGCTCTGTTGTGAGTGCTCATCTGTTCGCATGCCTTTACAGACTGAACCGTCAATCAAACAAAACACAAGGACATTTTCAACAATATGCCTCTTCTCAAAATGTTTATCAGTTTTAAGTCATGAGAGATTTATGAAACAAAAAAAAATCCTGTTGTCATTTTACCTCATCATAATATTTAGCTGCTTCAGCATAATCACTTCTTGCTTCTGCAAACAACGCTTTCTGTGTAATTTCCTTAGTCCCAATCTTACCACTGAAAATGCCACGAAGGACATCATAATCCCCAAGAGATCGGTAGAGCCTAGTAAAATTGAAAAGGGAGATCTTTTAATTAGTCAGACAGAGGTATATCAATGCAAACATAAGCTATCTAAAAAAATAATAATTCAATAAGCAGTAATACTACTGGCTTGTAATAGTAAAAAAAATAATTGATATTTCTTATGTAAGACCACAAATATATATTTAACTAGATAAACTTCATCTGAACCATGGAAACTCTTGCAGTTGAAAAGCTGTGAACAAGATATTTTTCAGCAGTCTGACAGCATCATCAGGGTGCACAGCTGTTAGTCTAACTGCTCTAACTGAAAGATAGTAATTAACCGCCAAGAAATTAAAAGCATATCTTATTCTAAAAGAGGGAAAGACTAAAAAAGAAATCCCATACGCCATACAGGCAAGGCAAACCTTCACAAGGCAAACGTAAATGGGAGTAAATGGTCTCAAACAAGCATTTACTTAGCAAGTTCAATCCATCTGATGACATCTGGGGGAAGCTCTGTCCTCCCACGCATCCGCTTGGGGAGGGGCTCCTCCGCAGGGGACAGAGCCATCAGGGCCTGCTCCAGAAGAAGGATGCCCACTGGCTGCTGTAAACTTGCAAGGCAGCTTGAGGTCACATTAGATGAATCCAGTTCTAGTAGCTCTCTGTGCTGGTAACTAATTTCCTATAAAATAAAACAAAACAACAGGTATCTGCTTAGTCTAAAATGATACCGATAGTGACCTTTTACAGGTCACCTTTCTGGTATCCTTTGTCTTACAGTGCAAGCTTTGGAAATAAGCTGTTAAGTCTCCACAAGTTCCCACCTCTGGGAAAAGTGGAATCTTTTCCTTCTGTTTCTATCCACATACATAACCCAGTTTTAGCGTACCACAGCTTCCCATTAGACTCATTCAGTACCGTACTCAATCTGGTCCTGCCTGACTTAAAGACACGACGATACTTCTGGTAGATCTTTATCCTATTTAACAGCAGTCTGACTACAGAATAACCTCTTTTTCAGGGATAAACATTCTTGTTTTCCTGAAGGTTTTTTTAAATACTTAGATCATTATTCCAAATACAGGTAAATACATGGAGAAAGTAGCAGACAAGTTTATTAAAGCCAGGTTTGTTTGTTGGTTTTTTTTTTCATTGAAGAACCTCAACGAGAGTTGCCAAAATATCTTAATCAAACAGGAAGAAAAAAATCTACAACATGGAATAGCGGTAATATAACTTTCATTACAAGAAACAGCACAGAGTTTTAGGACAAAAATGAACATTTGATTTTTGCAACACAGTATGTTCAAGAATACCAAGTGGAAAAAAAAATAAAAATCACTATTTGGAAACTGTAACAGGAGACTGTGAGAACAACCAGGCTAAACTTTGATCAATGGCAACCACCACAAGAACTGCAGAACAGGCATCTGTCATAAGCAAACTCATTACACAATTTGTATAGTTGAGACTCTCACACACCAACAAATTTGTACTCAGTAAAAAATGAGAAAAAGAACATCTTGTAGCTTCCTAAGTTACAGACCAGGTGGATCCCAATGAGGGGTTAGCATATCCTTTACCTGCTATTCAGGCAATTTCAACTAGCAGGTTCTATCAAACTTGTACGTGTGCCCCAGACACTCTTATCTACGGGCACACGTTCCTTGACTGTCAACTTTTAGGGGTTATGTCAGGGACACAGTGCCAACTGCACAATCTAAAAACTTAAGAATAGCTGTGCTAAGGTAAGACCAAAAGCCCTTTCTCAGGGTTGCCTAGGAAAAAATGTTAACAACTGTGCAAATATAACAGTACGTCCAGAGAATGAATACCCTCCCAAACTCACAATGTACAGACACTGCCTCACATCAAAGGAGATATCTTTCTATTTAGTCCATTTTGCTGTCTACTCGATCACTTATCTTCTGAAAACGGAGCAAGTGTTCCTCGCTCTGTATGCAATGCGTTCTGTCTTTGCTTGCACCACACATCCAAAGATTAGCATGAATGGCATCCAAGCTGGCCTGACAACTAAAATATTTATAAGGCAATTATATATTCTTCAGAGGCCAGGTATCTCTATGGAGTCTATGTAAACTTTTGTCATGGGGTTAACTTCTTTCCTAGTATTTCTCCTGGTTTTTAATCCATCCTGAAAACCAATCCCAGAGCCTCATAGTCAATTTTAATATTATATCTGTAGACAAAACCAGCTCTTTTTATCACCAAGTTACTTTCCTGATGGGACTTGAACCTGTAGGAAACTAAAAAAGTCAAAAAAACCAGAAGGAAATGGCAGGGAAGTAGGAAGTCTTTCTGAAACAAGCCAAGATTTATTATACTGTTGGTATACAGGTAACAGAAAACGTATTGCCAAATGGCCAAGCCACTAGGACAGCCTTTGTGAGCCAAATGCAGCCTCGGCACTGTGTGCTCTCCCTCTCCCTCTCCCAGCTCTCTCTCCTGATCAATATGAACTCTGTTCCCTGCTGGGAAAAAGACTTTCTCTCACTGTTATGCTGGATGCTCAAATATACAGGCTGATGCTTGCCTTTGTGATGTTCTTCTTTTATCATTGAACGGAGATGGCAATGAGATGCTCTTATCACTCTTCCAAAGTCTGTATTTTTGACTAATGTTAACTTACCTATTTTTTGAGTCTTCTTTTTACATCTATTAAGAAAAAAAGAAGCCTAACACAGCAGTGTTATTAATAGGGTCTAACAGACAGCATCATTCAATAAAAATAATAATATCAAGACAGAGAACCAACAAATGCAGTGTCAAGAGGGAATATTAACAGATAGCTATTGTGAGATGTTGGCTCGAAAAATACTAAGACAGCCCAGAAAAATCCCCATAGCATTTGACCTTTTATGCAGCTGCATAGAAAAAAAGTAAACAAGAAACTACATTTTTTCAGATGTGTAAATACAAGTACTAAGAAGCAAAGTTTGTCACTGTTTAAAAAGCTACTCCAAACTAAACATATCTCCTGTATTATGAATGACATCTACTGTATCAGAGTATTTGAATTTCCATCACACAAAGAAGTCATTATCTGCCACTCAAAGAAAGACTATTTTGAGAGCTACAAATCAGACACAACATTAAGATAAACACATTTTTTAAGAAACTTAAAATACAGTGAAAATGAGTATGTAACATGTGCTTGGACAAGTTTTTTATATCTCCTTGAAAATTTGGGTAAAAGATAAAGTTCACAGTCTGTCCCAGGTCAGTATATTCTCAGAGCAGAAAGGCTTCTGTTTCCTTTCCAGTGAAATGGCTGTGGTGCACTCAGTCACCCTTTGGTGGAAATGAGTCCTTCCCTAATTATTGAAAATCCCCAGACAACTACTTCAGGGGTTGGGAAAATGGGAAAAATAAGGGAGATGCTAACAACAGTCTGACAACTACTGATACGCTCAAGACACCAAACTTCTCCGAAGTGAGACCTTCCCAGAAACAGGAAGACAAGCGCAAGACACCCACGTAACACTTAGAAAAATTCTTGCGGCTTCGATTTAAAATCAAGTCTCTTCTTGTTCCTGCTACAATTAAAACATTAAAAGGTGACTCATACTCTATAGATCACAAATAGCAGAAAGGTTGAAAAATCAGTTCAGAGGCATGAATTAGCCTAACACTAACCCTACTGGGAGCAGAGACCTAGAGCTGATGTGGCCAGCACCATAGGTGGCCCAGATGAGAAA